TTTGAAAAAATACTTTGATATAAAAATTACTAAAGCAAAAACCATCGAAGGAAGTACACTTCAATGTGTAATACAATAACTCTTTTACACATATTTTCTAATACTGTTGATTACTACCCTTTTGCTTATAAATAATTAATATTTATTTAGTCACCAACATATATCAGGTTAAAATAGAATCTGTGGACTATGCAGATACATGGAAGGAAAATTGCCTGCCCTATAGAATAGCACTTATCGATAAGGCAAAAAGTCCATCAAATCATAACAAAATAAAATATTACAATGAAAGACCTTGAATTGGCTTAAATTATTTTGATTATAATGTTACTCAAATAAATGTGGGTATAAAACTAAAACAAAAAAAATTTTATAAATCAAATACTGACAAAATAACAAACCAACAAGCATATCTTAATGTAAATTTACTGTGATAGGTAATGTTTTACTGAAAACAAGTAGTTGCATACATACGATGTATATGCCAGTAGTTTCTGTAGAGTGCATGATTTTGCACACTACTTTACAACTGAGTGTAGAAATCAGTGACTTAGTTTTTCAACTTTTTCTCCATTTTGACTGTGGCGAAAATTTTGCACAGCATTTAATATGATGTCATTTAGCCTTCATTTGATCTAAATGCATCACTTACTTATTATGTTCATAAGCTAGAATTATTTGATATAATATTAATATCTCATGACATAACACATTCCAACTACAAAAGCAAATCCAGAGTCTATATGTAGGGCATTCAGATGTCTACAGTCATAATATGCTTACATTAAAACCTTTAAAATTGTCACTAACATGTAATCATAAAGCTATAAGATTGCTAGTAGAAAATATGGACTCCTTGAATGTAAATCTGCAGAATTTAATTAAAGAAAGATCGCTCTAGGAACACACTGATTCTTTATCTATTCTGTAAAGTCATTCCCTAAATTACATCTGATATTTAGATTCAGTTCAAAATTAATATGCAATTTAACATTCATCATGGTTTTATTTTTTATATTCTTAAAATGAGTATTTCATATTTGTTTAAATCAGAACCCATTACCTTCAATCCTTTTTATAATGAATGAATGCAATTTTAGTGTTTTACACTTAAAAACATTACCACAAAACGTTATAAAAATAAAATTAATTTTATTAGAGATTAATTATCTTTCAAGTGCAAGATTTTCATTCAGATAGAATTCTATAATTCATACGTTTCTTGAATGAAACAAAAGAAAATATTACAAATACAATGCAAGATTAATCACGGTTAATGTTGCATTTTGCAACTCAGTATTTCCTTCCTAGACAATGTAAGTAGCCCCACATCTTAGTCTGTTTCCTGCTGCTATAACAGAATATCACAGACTGTATAATTTATAATGAACAAAAATTTATTTAGCTCATGGTTCTGGAGGATAGGAAGTCCAAGATGAAGGGGACACATCTGGTGAGGGAGTTCAGACTGTGTCATCAAATGGCAGAAGGGAGAAGGACTGTGACTCTAGGTTTTATCATATATTGTGACTGTTCTTAACTGTTCTTTATAATCTATGCAAAACTAGACATTGTAATGTGGTTTAGAGCAGAAATTATGTCTACTTGTGTGACACTGGATTATTTATTTTACTTCTAAAATCTTTATTTTTCTTGACCATAAAATGGGGGATAATAGTACTTACCTCATTCTGTGAGGACCAAATAAGATAGCATGTTTCAAAGCACAGGGTTTTATATATAGTAACCATATTAAATAAATGTAGGGTACTTTTTTTTATCTTAGATTTTCACTTGTCCATTATAACTGCTTTTATATAAATATTTCTTTACTTTTTTGTTATTGTGATGAAAGATTTACTAAATCTCTATAGCTTTATGATGGCAAATAATATCTTTAAGTTTTAATGACAAAATCAAGAGTCTCTGTTGACACAAACGTCATTTTATGGTTATTTCCTTCATATCACTAATATTCACAATATAAAAGAATTTCTGCTCCATGTATTCAAACACAGACTTAACTTTCCTTCTCTCTACATTAGAGTTACACATGGAAATAATGTTAAGAAAATAAAAGCAAATTTCCTATATATTAATAAATCTGCAACCAAAAAATAAAAAGATCAGGAAGTGAATTGCAACTTCTGAAAAGGTATTTTGCATAACATCAGAATATAATGAAGATTGAAGGTTTGCTTATGTTATATTAAACACACGACCCCCACACAAAAACACACATACACAAACACATATAGACACATTTAAAGAAAAAATGATCAAGGCATTGAAATTTTTTTCAATAAATGTGCTTATCACTAGATATATTAACAAGTATATTGCCTTATAATTATACAATTACCTGCACTTTGTAGAAACCCAAAAATAGTTGTTTTACTTTTTCTTTTTCTTTTCTTTTTTTCTTTTTGTAAGGCCTGCCAAGTGTCTACTACCCAGACTTGCTTTCCTGGGACTCCAGGTTAGCCATGAGCAATTATGAATGTTAGAGCATAAAAGGTCTTGCTTGATCCTTCAGTTCTTGCCCAATGTGGTCAGCTCTGATCTTTGTACCAGTGTAGAACAGTGGCTTTCTCTACTTTGTGTATAGGAAGTCCTACTTATAAATGATCACAAGCTAGTGTCAACTTTTCAAAAAACACCTGTCAATCAAAGCTTAGGTAGATCCTCTTCTCTCTATGTTAGAAGAATATATATGATGTTCCGTTCCAAGACATCTAATAATGGAAAGGAGCAGTTTGCTCATCTTGCTACTTTTCTGAAAAATACATGGGGAAAATTTAAAATGATAGTTATTTACCAAATTAAATATTGGTTAGTGCCAATGATGAATCATCTTTTGGCAGTAGTGCTAATGTTCTTTTATACTATCCACTCAGCCAGTAGCCAGATTATAGAGATGTTGCTTTTTCTTCCCCTGAAATATCATTTTACCCTCTTTATCATATATTTTGCTGCTTTGAAGATAAGTGACAGATCTATAATCAAGGAGACATCACAGATTTGAAAAGTGAGCTAGCTAAATTCCTTCTTGCTTTGTTCTTTAGTTACAGAAACTCCCATATACAACATTTCTCAAAAAAACTTTCGATGATAAGTAACTAAGTCACAGCAAATTAATGTGTCATGTACTGTTCTAGACACTTGGTATGGTCTGTGTCCCCCAAAATTTATGTGTTGGAAACTTAACCCTAATGCGACAATGTTGGGAGATGGGGTCTAATGGGAAGTGTTTAGATCATTATGGTTCTTCCCTTGTAAATGGATTAATGCCCCTATAAAGAAGGCTTGCAGGGGTGGGTGCCTGCCCTTCCATTCTCTGCCATGTGAGGAACAACTTTTCTCCTCCCTGAATGACAAAGCATCATGGTGCCATGTTGGAATCAGAAACCATACCCTCAAGTGCCTTGATCTTAGACTTCCCAGCCTCCAGAGCAGTGAGGAACAAATGTCCATTTTTTTATAAATTACCCAGTCTGTGGTATTCTGTTATAGCAGCACAAAACAAGCTAAGACACCAATGGATACAAAGAACATAAGAAAACAAATTAACTCTTTGAATTTACATTCTGGTGTAGGACACACAGAAAAATATAAATAACAAACAAGAATATGTGTATTTGTGTGTGTTGTATGCACGTGTGTTGCTAAATGCCTTTATGATTTAAATATAAATCAATTGAATGATATATTAGATAGGGAAGGTCTCGGTGAGGTAGTGATATTTAAGCAGATATGAAATGAAATGAAAGTGAGATGTAAGTGAATATCAGATCTCAATGAAAACAAAGAAAAGAGGAAGGAAGGAAGGAAGGTAGGAAGGAAGCAAGGAAGGGACTGAGAGAGGGAGAAAGGAAGGGAAAAAAAGAAGACAATACTCCATAACATGCAATGAAAACTCCCGTGTCTTTCAAATAGAAAGCCTGAGTTATAATTATTAGGAGAAAAAAATTATAATATTTTGATGTCCATGTAATTTCAACAAAAATAAGCCAAGAAATTAATAGTTTGGTAAAAGAGGAGACTATTTAATTTATGCTTAATGTAAAAATTTTGTGAAAATCTCATAAAATTTATCTCCCATAAAATGTCACACATAAGAGAAGAGTATTCAAATGCTAGTTAACTTTAACAGTGTTTTATTAAGTGTAATGTAACTAAAATGTAATGCAGAAAGAGAATATGAAAACTTACACCAAAAAAATAAATGTGAACACATATTATTCACTGCTGTTTCAATCCCTTTGTAAGTGTTGAGTGTTGTACTATGTAGATCAAAACCTATACTATTAACAAGTATGAATAAGAATGTAGCTAAACATTTGTACCCCCATAATATGCAGAAATTAAAAAGAGAGAAAAAAAAGAATATACCTAACTTTGTAAGTCAAATTGATATTTTACAGTTTTTTAATGTTTACATATATTTCAGAGGTATGTTTAAAGTCTACCTTTTCCATGAAGTTGTCCTTGTTTTCCCTAGCAAAAAGTACTATCTAAAACATGGTTGTACTTCATACATACCTCATTTGTGTCAATACTGAAGTATACATCTTTGTATGTTTAATAAGCCCTACAATTTCATGTCTCCAACATAGTTAATGCTACAAAAAATTGAAAGAATGAAGGCATTATTCTAAGCTATAGGCATTTTTGGAAGAACATTGTGCCATGATTATATGTATGTGGTCATACCTTCAAAATAAAAGATGGATCACTATAAACAGAGTAAAATATACAAAAATCGATGCTGTAACATACACATCCCCAGGAATATTTTATGTAAATAAAATTTAGCTGTAGAAAAACCCCATAACATCTGATACTATACCCAGGGAAGCAAAATAAATTTATAAAGTTGTCTGTAAACATTTATAGAGGATAAATCAGATCATTCTAACATAAATACTTAAAAGGTTTTTCTTGTTTTGTTTTTGCAAAATGTTGAAAAGGCAGAGTGTAAAATAATACGAATTACTTACAACCATTTCATTTAGAGACACCCAGCAATCAGGTGGGAAGTCCTGCAGTAGTGGTACTAAGAACTGAAGACAACCATCCCAGTGGCATAGGAGCAGCATCATGCCGATGAGATTAAAAATTCTCACCACCGCACTGGCAAGATCATACGTCATGTGGAATATCTGTTGACCAAAATATGAAATCAATTCTTATAATCATGTTTTTTAAAAAATCAAGCATACTATCAATGTCAGTAGGCATTGATGTTATGTAGTGTTAAGTATTGATTTAATAAAAATATGGGAAGAATTTTCAAGAAATAGAAACAAACATTAAAGAATGTCAGTTTAGCTGGTAGTTTTCATTTACTGTCCTTCTGGACATTTTAGCAAAGCTGCTTTAAAACAAAGTAGCAAAGTTAACAAGCGATGGGTAGCCTCTATGCAGCTTCTCATCACTTGTTACATTGATAGATTTGTTGAGGGGCAAAGAAAATGGCCAAGGATTGAAAACCATAGGCAAAAGGAATTTAATTTCAAAATATAAAGTAAGAGCGAGAATAAATTGAACTTAACTTTATAGCTATGTGAATGGAGGTACTTCTCTAATTGTGTATATTGAACATGAACAGAAGCCTTTGAGATAAAAGTTGCCTGGATTTGGTTAAAAAAAAACAATTATATAACACTTCTTAAAAATCATAATTTTTTCCATTTTTTTTGTATTTTTATCATGCAGGCTTCTCTTTTCTGTAATCCCTTATTGTTAATATTTTCATGAAATCCAATATGGTAGATGAGATTATTACAGAAGAAAAAATATGACAAATCTACATGCCCCATCAAAATTTTAGAAGTGTAAACAAATATCCAGCTCCACTATATTTGCAACTACTCATTTATCTGCTTATTACAAGAATTAGAATCAGAATGTGGTTCTTTTCATTAGGAGCTTATAGCACTCTCCTACTGCTAATATGGTTTCTGCTTATATATATTTCACTCAGTCTAGAATAACAAAATCCACTTAAGAGCAGACCTACATGCTAGAATGAAGTTTTCTTTTAGTTGTTAAAGAATTACTAAGCTAATAAATACAATTAACAAATATGCATAAGTACACATAAATACACCTTGAGAGATTTAGAATCACATTTTATATAATTCACTAAAAGAATGGTATATTTCTAAAGTAATAAGATAAATTTGTATTGAGAAATTATCTGAGAAATGTTTAAAAAACTCAAATCTATATTTTGATTTAGAACTTCACCTTTGTAAGAAAACTTCTATAATTCTGAAAATATGCATACTGAGGTACACAGAGGTAAAATTACAGTACATCTATGGGTTTGCTTTTATTATAATATAAAATCACCAAATCTGTCTTTAATTAAATGTTTTTCACTGTGATATATTTCTATGATCATTAATTCTTTCTTTAAACAATCTTCCTTTTTGACAGAGTAATTATAGTGAGAAAAAAATTCTCCGTTGTGGGAATGTACACTCTGTTCTGAATTCCTTTTAAATGTAAGATGGGAGGGGTTCTAGATTTTTAAGGCAACAGATCACATATTTTGATATTCAGACAGCTGTAAACATAGCAATTTATTTTACAGCATTAAGAATTTTATTTCCTCTAAGCTAATTTTAATTAGATTTTGATCTGATCAGGTCCCCTTTATTTATTTTTGTTGTTGCCGTGATTGCCTTTGGGGTTTTCTTAATAAATTCTTTGCCTAGACTACTGTCTTATAAGAGTTTTTCCAACGTTTCTTCTAGAGTTCTTATACTTTCATGACTTAGATTTAAGTCTATTATCCGCCGTGAGTTGATTTTTGTGAGAGGTGAATGGTGTGGATCCGGTTTCAGTCTTCTACATGTGGCTGTCCAATTTTCTCAGCGCCTTTTATTGAATAAATTTTCTTTTCCCCAGTGTATGTTTTTGTTTGCTTTGTCAAAAATTAGATGGCCATATGAGGATGGTTTTATATCTGGGTTCTCAGTTCTGTTCCATTGGTCTATGTCTCTGTTCTTGTGCCAGTACCACATATACTTACCATTAAATTAGTATTAACTGATCAACACTTAAGTGAACATATAGTAATAACATTCATCGGGTGTCGGGCAGATGGAGGGAGACGAGGGGATGGGTAGATACACACCTAATGGGTGTGGTGCGCACTGTCTGCGGGAAGGACACGTTTGAAACTGGGCAAAGGCAATATAAGTAACCTAAACATTTGTACCCCCGTAACATGCTGAAATAAAAAAAAAACTAGGTTTTGAATTTGTCAAACCCACAGAAAGGTGTTTTTGGTAGTATCACCTCTGATAATCCTTGGTCACTGAATTTTTAAATAGAAGCTATACCAACATTTTAATCAATAATTTCTTATTAAAAGTAACATACTAAAACATAATAAAAAACTTTCTACTAATAAAGTAGGAAAGGAAACTAATCATGGAGTTAGAATTTTTTTGTTTAGTAATAGAATTCATATCTAAATACATCCTAAGAAAGTGGTTTAAAGTATCCTATGGGTCAGTGCTGCACTTTGTTGGGAAACAGGGATAAATTGCAGCTTATAAACTTCTGTATGAAATATGAGCCCTATCACCTTTAAGTCCAATTATATGAAGTAACCCATATCTATCTGAAACTCTTCCAAAGCCTACAAATTATAAGCATACAGGCAGCAACCATCATTCAATTATAAGGCTTTAGAATAGAGTTTGGGATGTTCTAGAAAACTAGTATCCATTCTTAGTAAAGTTGACTTGTTTTTTTCACTTTCTACTTTCTTTTTGAGAAATTGGATTCTTTTGGGGGATCTTAAGGGATTATTTATTGAGTTAAAATAACAAATGCTAACAGTTATTCACCAATCCCTTTAAGAAAACCCTATTATTGGGCAACAGAGACTCTCTCCACCGCCTCTGCCCACAAAAAAATCCCTTTATTTCTAAAATGTTCTCCAGAGAAACATAACCGCTATTTTCATAAAGGAAATTATTGGTAATGTAAGACCTTTGATAATATATTAGGAACATTTTTGCTTGAACTATTTTAACAAGATAATCCCTATATTTAAGGCTATCTTCAATCCCATATTCATTCCCAACCTCGCAATGTTAGTGTATAGTGCTAGTGCTAGATTTATGCACTAATTCTACTATATGGAAAGTACTCAATAATTGCTCATATAATTAATTTCATAAGCAGTCTCCCTTATGGTCTTTAACATTATGTTCTCAAACGTGACCTCACTTTATAGAACTATCCCACAATACAACTTTAGATGAGGTACAAGCAAGTTGGTTATTTTGACACTGTTTAATATCAAACACTAATTTCAAATATTCAGACCCATATGGCTCCATTATGATTTATCTAACTAGTAAAAGATCATCATAATGTATATAGTATTACTTTTGATGCATACGTGAATTTGTGTAGTACTTGGGTCCAATCTGGTTGTCTCTTGAGCTTTTATAATTAATATACTCTGTCAGGTATAATCATTACATCTGACACGAATACTGGGATGAGTGACCCTGTTAAGACCTTGTTCATGGAAGATTTGGAATGAGAAGACTACTTTCCTATGAAGCTCACACATCTGTAGATAGTCACATTAACCAAAGAAGGAAATATCTGATACAATTTATGCATAGCCACAATTTCTTATTGTCTAAGGGCAGATTGTAGGATAAATCTAAATGTGACTGAAGTGGCTAATACCATTGATAATCAGCTGTGATAAATTGCCAGTGATAAAATGACTAATACCATTGATTAATTAATATTTTCAATTTTTCTTCATCTCTTAGGTGGACATCCTTAAGTGACAAATTCCATCTAAATCACTTATCTTAATGCTGCTGCATACAAACTTGACTGCACACAAATTGGCACCATAGATGACAGTAAATTGTTGCTAAATGAATGAATGAAAAAGTTGAAGGGGTTTAATAATGATAGTATAAATAATCCTTTATGATCTTAAGAGTGTGCACTTTTTGCTTCTGATTTTAAATGAGGGAATTAAAACAAACAAATAAAACTTCATTATTAGGTGTGGTATATTCACACCTAATGGATACAGTGTGCACTGTCTGGGGGATGGACACGCTTGTAGCTCTGACTTGGGTGGGGTGAAGGCAATATATGTAACCTAAACATCTGTAGCCCCATAATATTCTGAAATTAAAAAAAAACAACATATGTTTTAAAAAAGAAAATAGCCAGTCACATGGTGACTAAACATATGACAAAACATGATGAAAAATAAATAAATAAACAAACAAACAAACAAACAAACCAAGTAACAACAACAACAACAACAGCAACAAAAACCTTCATCATTTTTTATCCTCTAAGTAATCTGGCTTGAAACTTGACTTGAGTACTCAGGGTGTGGGGAACAGAAAGATATACTGCTCTGATCCACTAGATATACACTTCCAAGTGGTACCTATGGGAGTCAACTGAAACAAAAATAAAACAAGTTTTTAAACAGATCTTTAATTTTATGTTGACTAAAAATTAGACTAAAAAAGAAGTCTATGGAAGGCAATGTGCTTTATATCTGTCTAGCTCATGATATGGTGTTGTTCACATGACTCCAATAAGAAGAAAGATCTGGTCACAAATTCTCATTGAATTTCTTTCAAAATATTATAGTTGTAGAATTCTCATTAGTTAAAGTCCAATGACTCTAGATAGGATATCTAATTAACTTTCTAAAACTGAAGAATGCTCTAAGACATTTTGAGTCAGAATCCTATGTCTTGCCCTAATATTTGCAGATTGTTCACAATAAGTATTTTTTTTTTTTTGGTAATTTGTTTTTCAGGAGCAATGTTTACTCCATCCTATTTTTAAAAGGTCAAATTCCATACTGTGTTGTACAACAGAAATCCACAAATTAGCTGAGATTTTTCAAAATGCTTCCATATTTTTCCTCAATGAATTGGATTCAGGGATCTCTCAATCTAATAACCAGCATATGAAATCAGTGTTCTTAACCTATGCTTAAGTATTTGATCCGCTACAGTTTACCCAGCAAAAAAACAAAAACCGTCAGGAATATTTTAAGACTTTTCAAAGCATGTATTGATCTGTCTTAATCTTTGACTTCACAGACTGGGATTATTTATGGACTAGTTTGTATGAT